TCTCTCTCTCTCTCTCTCTCTCTCTCTCTCTCTCTCTCTCTCTCTCTAAAATATTCTTTTGACTATGCTGAATACTTAATATACTTAGCATCATACAGTATTTTTTTATTGGGAGCTTGTTAGTTATGATGGTCTTACAGTTTAAATATGTTGTGATTTGTGACAGAATTTCCTTCTCTTCGTAAGCTGAGCTAATACTGCACTGTACAGAATGAGCACGGTTTTCTTCCCCACTTACAATCTACGTCTTTTCTATTGTGAATATTTCCGCAGTCAACATAGGCACATCCCTTCCTCCCTGAGACCCTACTTTGTTCAGTTGAATAAGAAGTTTGCAGTGTTGTCAGTTAAGAAGATTGTAGTTTTACTGACTATGAAATTAGAGGTCTTTGTCCCTTAAGTATTAAATTAACATAGTAAATACAAAATATTTTCAGATGATATTTTGTTATTAAACTCTTGAATGGGATAAAAGTAACTCAATGAATAGACTCTAAAGGGTGCATCTGTGAAACAGAGTGTCATAACTACTTTAGGCTGAGTGTTGCAAATGAAGGCACGCCAATACTCACTATGCTGCTGAACATATCAGCCGGTGAGCATTTAATCTTAGGAACCTCAGAGAGTCCTGATCATCTGGTATAATCCTTGAATTTTACAATTGAGATAACAAAAGCCTGGCGGTGAAGGATGGTGGTTATATTGGAGCAGTGTGCAGGCTGTTCTTGTTAGTTAATGAAACCATCTAAGATAGGGGAATGATTTAAATCTTTGCTTTGTGCTGTTATGTGTTTATTTCAAAAGTTCCAAGGAAATAGTGATCAGGGTTCTTTAGGATAATGAAGTACAAATCTCTAATAAAAAAGAAAACCGAATTTTCATAAAAATCAGATTTATTGCACAAAGTTTATGATAGAATTCCTAAAAGAATTAAGTGATCTTTATATGTAACATATTGCTTGCTATAAGGAACAGGTAAGGTTTTATTTCCCAATTTCGTTCTCATGTATCTATCAATGATGATGAGAAAACAGGCAAAATAAATGAACACAAATCGGCTGTGTATGAAGCAGTGCACCTGACATTTTAGAAGTCCACATATGGAGATTACCTGACTAAAGAACCCTACTATGTGGGACTTTAACACATAGCTGGTATGATTATGCATTGAGTTATTAATGTTTCAGTTTAATTTTTTAAGTTTTTGATTGATCTTTTAAGACCACCTATTCGACAGTTGCAATTGTCAATCACCTGTGGTGCTCAGGCTTAGCCTTTCTGTTTTCCCCTGACATATCTCATAGCTTATTTTTATTTTATTATTACTTTGGTGTGTGTAGGTATAGTATTTGAAGTGTTTGGGTGAATACAATCATGCATATGCTACAGCAAACATGGAAATTAGAGGACAGTTTGATACGTCTTGCCTACCACATTGTCTTTGAGGCAGGCCTCCATTTTTATTTTAGCTATTATGTTGAGTCCTGGAGGTAGCTGGCCTGTGAACTTCTGAGCAACTCTCTGTCTTGAACTCACTTCTCGGTAGGAGTTCTAGGAGTGTAGATGCATGCTACCAAATCCTGTTTTTCACAGGAAATCCTCACTCGGGTCCTCAAGCATGTGTGGCAAGCTTTTACTTGCTGAGACATCGCTCCTAGGCACACTTCTATGGTATTTAAATATCAGTGTGCTTATTGGGTAAGCATGTAGTGAGCGTTTTAGGGACTAGGGAGAGATGACTGTAGAGTGTCAGTGGATAACTCTTTACATTTCTCCACATCAGTTGTCACATATTACAGTGTAAACGTCTCAAACATTTCCCTCCTTTATTCTTTTCCAGGTATTTTTTAAAAGCATTTTCTCTTGTGGGAGAAACCCAGGAGCGCGAGAGAGTATTAATACATTTCTCCAATAGATATTTTTCTTGTAATCCAGACACTATCACCTCAAAAGGTAATCTAGCGGAAAGCTTGCAAGTTTTTTATGATTGTGGTTATTTTCCTTATTATAAAAGTTATATTTTATTGTAAAAACAAGTTATATTTAATTTACCTCCTTCTTGTGCATTTATTTAAATGCAATTTGCAATCATTAATTTCATTTCCTACTGTTTCCCTTTCATTTTTCATGTCATTATCTTTTTAAGGAAGGTTTAAGGGCGACATATTTTTGTTTTCATAATTATTTTTATTCTTTTAAAAATTCATAGTATGACAGTATGCTTTATTTATGTTGCCATTCTATGCTCAGCTTTGCCACTCAGGGATTCTCTGTGCAAAGCAGTTTGTACTACATTACTGCTCTTCTGACTTCTCGTACTTCTGTCCCTCTACATCTTGAAACCCGTGTGTGTTTAGCTCAGTGACAGCTTTTGTATATTTATGTGTCTCATTGGAGCCTTGCTGAATCTTTGGTGCTCTTGTTTGATATTAATGAAAATCTTTGTAGCTGTTTTTCATGTATGGCTTTAATGAACTATGGTTTGTTTGTGGCACTGTTTAAACAGCGTAGAATAATATTTAACTGTTCTTACAACCGTCCTACCCAAAAGGAGAGTCTGTTTCCACTTAAAATACTATAGATATGAATACTTTCAGTTTTAAGTGAAGGCATATTTATTTTTAAATGGGAAGTTTCTCAAAAATGTATTAATTTTGGTGTAAATTGATAAGATAGACAAGGAATAGAGACTGCCAGTTACCAACGTCTCTGCTCACCCTACTCCCTCGGGCCGCAGCTAGTGAGCTCAGCATTGATTATTAATATCACATCCTTATGGGGAAACTGGTACTACTTGGACCGTTTATATCACAGGGTCAGCACCAGCTAGAGAACCTAAGAAGTGGAAGAAGGTTGTTTTCATTACGTTTGGAGGTGTAAGATGTTAACATGCTCGCACACAGTAAGGCATGTGGGGGTGTCTGCACTTGCTCTCGATGATGGTGTTTTGAGTGTTGGCTACTGCCTTTTACAGTAATTCCAGGAGTTAGTTTTGACTGTGTGATAAGCAAATGGAATGGGGATAAATACGCTAAGAGACATATATAAAGACATAGAAGGGAAAACCACCTACTAAAGTAAAAGTTTTGCTTTTGAAAACAAGCTGTCTTTTTTGTGTATTTGGCATAAATTAATACAGTTTTCACTTTATTTAAAACTATTTACATCTGTTTGTTATACTTGGGTTCAGAATTAGTAAGGAGAAAAACTAACTCTGATATTTGGAGATAAGATGTTTAGCTATGTATACTTTTGTGTGTGTGTGTGTTTTGATTCTTTTTTTAAAAAAATAGTTTATTTATTTTTTCTCAAATCGTAATTCATTCACACAGGGGTTATAAACACAGAAAGGCAGGATGTGGGGAAGGGGATGACACCGGAGCGTGGGTGTTCAGGGGGAATACAGATATCTTTCAGAACAGGGTATCGACTGGGTGAAGGTTCAGGGGACAGGTCACTATGACTCTGCCTATGATAGCTATGCATACTTTTTATTTTACTGTATAAAGTAAAATGAAATGATAATCTCATTTAAGTATGAAATGTTATTTCAGACTTTGGCCACATTTTTGTGAATACTTAATTTTTTAATCCTCCCAGAATATTTCAGTGTTTTACTTTTGGGTTCATCCATAACATCCCGGGGAGGGGGGGAAGTTCTATCTAAATGTGTCCTTTAAAGAGTGTTGTAAAAATATGTTTTTTATCTGTATATTTTAAGTATTAAATGATTTATTTTCAGTTTGATACTATAAGCCTCAGAAAATTGGGGAAAATATAGATCAAATGAAATGCTTTATCATCCAGATATTTTGATGGATTCTTCTAGAAATATTTATATTTAATGGAACCATACTGCACACAGTATGTTTCTCATACTAATTATCAAGTGTCTTTCCACTTACTTTAGCCAGTGTCCCTGTACAGCATTCCTAATGTCCTCAAAATTATAGCTTTGTTTCTGAAGAGTCACCGGTGTCCCATGATGAACAATGTTTGTCTCTGTGTTTTTGTGTTTATGTAGATCCTTAATTGTTTTTTACTGTAAAGCCCCAGATGAGTTGCTGCGTTAAAGGACACTGATACAGTCTTTGCACATGTAATGCCAAATTGCTCATCAGAGAACTGGTACTGATTTATCAATAGAAGAGTTCAACTTTGCACATTGGAAGTTTATAATTAAACTCATTCCCTTATGCTTTCCAAACAAAGGCAGTTATGTCTGGTACAGCACTGTGTTTTAAGCCTTTGTATGTGCTATGCTAACAGTAGGCCCTGTTTTTGCAGATGGAGTTCATTGCCTCACCTGTGCTCTGATGCTCCTCAACACAGATCTACATGGCCATGTAAGTGTATGCCTATGGTGCTGTCTCACCCAAGCTGCAGCACCACAAGCTTGTCGTTGCTTTTGTGGTTATACATCTTTTCCTCCGCTCCCCCTTGCTGTATTGTGTGGAACATTCCCATATCAAGCAGATAAATGTAATATATTCCCCCACCCCCTCAAAAAGTCTCATTCCTTCCACAAGCTAGTGCAGAGAGTAATTTAAAAAACAAACTATATTTTGTAGTTGCCTGGTATGGTTTTAACGTGTGTATTCTGTTTTATCTTTCTCCACCAGATGGCAGACAGAAATTTTACTTGTTTGAGATTTTGTTTTGTCATCTCTTAGCTAGGTATTCTAGTGGCTGATATATACAGTTGGAAAGGTAATGTATTAGAACTGAAATTGTGACTTAAGTTTTAATAGATATAACAATTTAGTCTTATGGGCAGTGATGACGCACGCCTTTAATCCCAGCACTTGGGAGACAGAGGCAGGCGGATTTCTGAGTTCGAGGCCAGCCTGGTCTACAGAGTGAGTTCCAGGACAGCCAGGCCTACACAGAGAATCCCTGTCTTGAAAAAACCAAAGGAAAAAAAAAAGGAAAACAATTTAGTCTTTTATGAATTCTTTAATCATCTGTTTTGTTAACTGGCTAAAAAATCAAAATAAAATCCATCACAAAGCCAACTGTCTCATCACCTATTTAAAATAAAATATATACTTCATAAATTTATAATTTATAAACTATTACCTCCAATAGAAATGAAATTTTTTATAGTTTTAATTATCAACTGCACCTTTGAGGAAAATGAGACTATTTTAAGTAAATATAAACTAATTTATATTTATTTAGAATAGTTCTAGTTTCATGTATTTTTGAAGGACAAAATCAAGTTTTTATGTAATTGAATGTCTCAGCCTTTGACATAATATATTTTATTTTATGATCTTACTCGGTATGTGAAAATGACTACTATATAGCAGCCATCTGTCCCAGTTTTCCAGATCACACAGTTCTCTTAGTACTGCAGAGCTCCTCTGTAAGGAAGCTAATGTGGAGCTCTGAGTGTGAGATCTCTAAGTTGAACTAACTATTATCAGAGGTGGAGAAAGAGTTCCCCCAGCAGCCAGGAGAAGGGGAACTTGAATAAATAGATCATACTGTTAATATAATCTTAACATATCTAAAAGTACTCAGAAGTTCCCTTTTGCAAGTTTTAAAGGATAATCTAAAATAAATTGGTGGACTGGAGACATGTAGCAGGTGTTCAGAAATCACACCCATCAAGAGTCTAGAACTTTCTGGAACACTTCTTGGATTGTAGGATAATAGCATGTCACACAGAAGTGAAGGTATTACAATTCCCTCAGTGAGCACCTTGAAGTGTTTGAATCCAGCATTTCTCCATCTGGTTAAGTGGAAGACCAGACCATGGCTTGTCCACTCCTTTGCTAGGGACAGACAATAGGTGTATTTACAACATGGTTCTATGAGTCCCATGATGATGAGTACCTCCTGTCCCTCTTTCCCTCCATTTTGTTTGCTTGACTTTTTTTTCAAGAAGGGTCATTTCAAGCATAGGTGTGCCCATGTAACATTGACCTATCCAATGACGTTCAGCATAAAGAAGCCTCTACATAGAAATGCTTTTCAAGTCCCATCAGCATAAATGGTTGTGTGTTTATAATCTTTTAAGAATTATCTGATAATAGAAATATGTACGAATATTTCATTCTTGTTGAAACATGTTGAGGTTATCATACAATGTCTGTAAAAGTTGTTAGATTTGAGATATTTATTTCTATTAAGTCCTGGATTGCTTTAAACAAGCCAGTAATGCTTTAATAATGCCTTGAGTTAAGCCTACATCTTACTGCTCATAATAATTTGAAATAAAGTAGCAAGTATAGCTGTGAGGTCTAATATTTATTCAAATCACCCACTGTGGTTGAATGCAGACATACTGAGGATATCCTGGTCTGTCACCACAGCTGCAGAATCATGAGGGCTAGACTGTTTGTCTAATCCCAGCTTCAGACCTCTTGAGGATGAAGGCAGTTTAATAAAGCAGCATGCACTGGGCATGGGCACACTCTTGTAATCTTAGAAGTTGGGAAACTGAGATAGGAGCATTGAGAGTTTGAGGCCAGCAAGGGCAACATAGAGGTACACTGCTAAGCAAAGAGAAGCAAGCAAACAAATAAATTATTACATTTCCTTTGACACCTAGGATGAACGATATTTTAATGTTGCCTTTAGTTGTCCCAAATATAGACAGTTAGCAGTTGTTTGTCTAAAGTAGCAAGTGCTTGATACAAAAAGAGGAAATTGTAATTACAGTAAAATTTTCTAGATTACTACCTGGCTTGTATTTTCAGTGGTAGTTAGCTTTCAGCCTTGCCTGAGAGTGTAAAAGTATGTACTATGTACTTAGGGCTGTCAAGTGTTCAGGTTTTATGTAACAATTTTCTCTATTATACAATTCATACTATAATAAATCTTAGAATCTATAGATGCTATCATAAGAACTAACCATCTGAAAATGTGTTTTTTTTTCTTATTTTTGTCTCTGGATTTATTTTAAAAATAAACTTTCCTTCTAGGTGGTAAGTGTCCATAATTCTGGATGTAGATTTTTCTTGCATCATAATTGCCTGGTCTATTCTAGTCTGTGTGTGACTGGTTAGCATGGCCATCCTGAGGCTGAATCATTCAGAAGATGAGTGAGTTCTTTCTAGTGTTTGCGTCTTCCTTTTGCCTTACTCTGCTCTACTGCATAGACCATCACCATCTCCTGCTTGCTCCAGTGCCAGAATAACCCTGTGGGGTAAACTAATGAGCCATTTCCCTCCTCTTCTGTACCATCCTGCCATAGCAGCAACACAGCAGCATGACTTTCTAAGAAATGCTAAATCCAGTTTGCCCTCATGCCTTCTACAGGGACGGGCTAACTGGGAAGATTAATTGATTTGGGCTTTTTTTTTTTTTCTGGCTTGGTTTTGTGAGTCTTTTCTTTAAGAATGATGCTATGCAAATGCATTGGAATGGATCCTTGTTCATCCTGCTGTCTTCACTATTAAGATAATGGAATGAATACTAATCTAACAACCTCCAGTAGGCAGCTCCACATTACATGCTGCAACACGTTTCTCTCTTGTCTGTGTATCCTCTCACTCACCAAATACCAGCAGTGTTCCTATACTGTTTTAAGTTCTGTACCATTTGGACAGGCATTAGCAATGAGAAAAGTGTTTAGTCAATGCTCCTATATCATTGGTGATTAGGCTGGTTACCATTAATCAGATTTAACTGAAGGCATGTTTTGCAGGTAATCAAGAAGCAGTTGTAGAAAAACATCATCAAGGTTTTAAAAATTCACATTGAGTTACAGTTAAGCCCCATTAAATAGGCTAAAGAAAAACATGAAGTGTGTACACATACACACACTTTTTTTTTCAGACAAATCTATTGTTGTTCTTTACTATCCGCTTTTAAATATAAATGAATGGTTTGTCATTATGTCAGCAACAGTATCTTGTTTATACTTATCTGAGTATTCTTGTAGATTATGTAAATGCCTTGTAGTTGTGATAACATGGCTGACTTGTTCAGTAATCCCTTTTTTAATGTTTAACTATCTGCAAGGTTTATATGCTATTAAATGTCTGTACATTTAGATAAATGAATTATAGTACTAAGTACTAAGCATGCTAAAATTGCTTGGGATATGGAAGTAAGATTGACATCTTTGTTTAGACTTTATTGGAAATACTATAAATATAAGGATTTGACATAAGTGCATAAGTTTCATTTCTGTGTGGATAAAATTTAACATGAGTTCTATTGGCTGAGTGTAACTAGTTTTGAAGCATGTTCAGCCTCCCCATGTTCCTTCCCCTGCCAACCAGTGTGATTATTGCCTGGTCTGATGACAGGTGGCAGGGGCAAGAGACTAGATAGGACTGGTTACCTCATGGTGATGAGGATGGTGATTGGGGACAGGAATTTAAACACAGACGTGACTTGCAATGAAGAGTGAACTAATAGTATGAACATTGTTGTCCAAATCCACAAATCCACAGTTAACAAATCTCAAGAAATATGCAACCCAGTGTCTGTCTGTCCAAACTCAGAACAAGATTAGAGTCTGTGGTGAGGCAGTTACTTAGATAAATCTGTGTCAGGAGTTGACTCTTTAAGGTTGTTGTCTGTGATTTTCAGCAGCGACTTTCTCCAGCGTTGCTCAGTGCTCCTCAGTATTGGCAGATCCGCTCACCAGGTGGTGTAGTAGAGAGGAAGCTTCTCCTGCCTTCATTGGTTCCTGTACAGATCCCTTGTCCTGGGCTTACTGAGTTTTCTCCCTGTGGTCACTGTTTAACATGAGGCATAATCTTGTGTTTGCTATTAAGATAGGAATTAAACAGAGGATCGTTTGGAAAAGAAAGAACTAAGTGTACATTTTGTAACAGACTAATCTTAAAATCTAGGAAGAGTTCCTTCACAGCAGTGAGTTTCTTTTGCAGCCAGTAAAATGAATTCTTGGATCGACTTTGTAGGAATTTAAATGGTAGAGAATTATTTGGTTTATTTGCAGTACTGGAAGACAACTGTAAAGTTTTTAATTAAGACAGTAGTTTTTATTTTCTTTTATTGTATTGTTTTTCCTTCATTTTTGAAAATTCACACATGTATCCAATGAAATTATGATCATACCATACCCAGTCTTCTACCTCCAACTTTCCATTATCCTCCCCATCATCACCCTCCCTGTTTCATGGCTTACTTTATGTCCTTGGTAACCCACAAGTCCAATGAATGCTGCCCATCTGTATGTGCATGGGCGTGTGTCACTCACTCGTGCACGAGAAACGACTCTCCACTTCCCAGCAGTTCTACATGCAAAGGCTTTAACAGCCCTCCATAAAGATGATAAACCATGTGTACTTCGTGCCCTTGGCAGTTCCTGTGTCTGTACTTATTATTGTAAGGAGCCTTGTGCCTGCAGTCCTCCCTCCTA